TTTTTTTTCTTTTATATGTTTAATTCAATTTTATCTATATCACCATTCTCAATTATGATTAATTCAAATTTTATCTATATTACATTACCCAATATGTTTCAATAATTTAAATTTTTTATCCCTTATTCTTTGTCTATAAAATGAAAATAAGTTTTATACTTGTTTTGCACCAACAAATTTAGCGACTGCTCATTTTCTTATGTAATTTTAATTTAAGTTATTTTGGTCTTGTAGTGTTTTTTTGTTTTCGTGCATTTAAAATATATTACTATTATTTAAAAATATTACTTTTTTTTTTATTTTTATTGAGAATAGAATATTAAAATTTATATTGAATGAGTGGATACTGAGTCCCATATATGTATTTAAATGAGTGGATAGAAATGTGAGTGTGTGTTTAAATGGAGAAAGATTTAGTGAAAAATGTAGATATGTGAATGGGTCGGGTCGGGTACGGGTTTTGACAAACTCGAATCCGGCCCGCATGTAAGTTACCCTACCCAAACCCGACCCGTTACCCGGTTGGTGATCTTCGGGTTCGGGTTGGGTTTTACCCAGCGGGTTAGTGGGTTTTCTTCGGGTAAATGGGTAACTCGAGTTTTTAAATTTGAGCTTTACTAGATCCATCTCGTTTCATATTAAAAATAAAATAAAATAATTTCACAATTAATTATAATGTAACAAATAATTTATTAACTAAGTTCGACAATAAAAAACTACAAAAAAATATTATATTATTGTTAGAATAAATAATGAGATATAATTATTTGTCTTGTATAGTCAATTTAATAATATTATATTTAAAAATTAAGTATTTAAATTTTTTATCATACAATTAACAAACATTGATTATAAAATCAGAAAAAAAAAGAATTAACCATTAATCAAACTTATAATAAATAATCTAATTTTTATACTAATTACACATGACTACTTTTATATTTATAATAATTTATAAATACATATATATGTATATATAATATTCAATGGTTGCGGGTAAACGAGTAGTGGGTTTTTCTACTATACCCATACCCGACCCGACCTGGGGTTCGGGTAGAATAACTCTACCCGAACCCGACCCAAAATCTGATCTTCTCGGGTTTACCCGACCCGAAATTGCGGGTAACCCGTGGGTAACCCGACCCTACGGGTTTTATTGACATCCCTAAAAAAATGATGTCGAGATAATGTAGATGAGAAAGTATATTAATTTTTTATTGAATGAATAAGAGTTGTGTATTTGTGTTGTGGATGCCCTTAGTTTTTTTTTTTTTTCCAAACGATAGATTTTCATTAAAGCCACACATAATTACAAACACACGGCCAAATGACCGAACTGAGAGGACATCCCAAAAGGAGCCTAAATACCACAACACACACACGATACTAAGAAAAAAAGACCTCCAAAAAAAGGAGGAAACAAACTCCTACAAGAGGATAACAAAACTCCCAAAAAGGAGAACAACCTCCCACAAGAGGAGATTCAAACTCCCAACAAGGAGAACAACCTGCACAAAGGAGATCCAACCCCAACCAAATAAAACACAAAA